ATCAAAAAGCAAACCTATTGCTTTAAACGAATTATATCAACATCATAACGATCACAAATTAGTCTCTGCTGGCTCTCGCATTACAGGGTATTTTGTGTTAGAAAAAGTTTTTCATTTTCGGTTAGCTTTGGGCCAAACTCTCGGGTACAATTGGTATATCAATGAAAACCCTACGCCTTGAGTGTGTCTGTCTGCGGGAGGGGGGATGGGGGGAGTGGGCTGTGGTGGTGTGGTGGTGTGGGTTTGTGCTTCACCTGCTGCCCGTTACTGACAACCCCTACCCACCTCTCTTAACTATCTGGCGCAGCCTTTGAAGCTCGCCAAACGCGAAAATTTCTCGTTTTGTTTGCTATTTATTATTGTTGTTTTACGTTTCCATTTTTGTTGTTGTTTGTTTGTTTGTTTCCTTTCTGCTTCTTTTATTTTATTTTGTTGTTGTTGCGCTTAGTTTTTGTGTTACGTGGGCGACAAAGCTGAGGGCGCAAGGGGAACGAAAACTGGCAGAAGAAAAAATGGTTGTGTATATGCATATGTATATATGTGTGTGTGCTAGTGTGTGTGTGTGTGTGTTTGTGTGTGTATGTAATACGATGGCCACCGTGGTCGACAGCGCGCCATCGGACGCTGAAATCGTTTCGGTTTAGTTTTCCAATGAACACACACACACACATAGGCACATCTACACGCTCATGCTAACAAACAAACACACACACACACACAGACTTACGCATACAGGGTGCCCAGTCAAAAAGGTGGCGATGCAATGCAATGCGAGCGGATGGCCCGAGCCTTTCCAGTGTGTATTTAGCAAATGTTGTTGTAGCTTAGTTTCCACTTCCAACACAACAACAACAACAAAAGCAGCAGCAGCATCAGCTAAGGCTATGCTTCGTTTTTGTGTCTATTACCGCACACACACACACACACACACATGCACGCACAGCCTCCCATGCATTTGCCCAATACCCGCTTTGGTTCGCCTTCACTCCCATCTCTCTCTCTCTCTCTCTCTCTCTCCCTCTACCTCCTCCTGCCTTTCTCGTTGTCTGCTCCACTTTTACCTTACCAACTATACAATATTCCAGCTTCACACACTCAACACACTCAACACTCGCTGCCCACCTAGTTGCCACGCCCCCATCGCATGGCTTAGCCTTAGTTTTCGGGTATACATAAATCAGCAACAGCCGCTGCCATTCGATTAGCATTTCGCCAGCGATTTGCGTCGACCGGGCAGCAGCAGCAACCACAGCAGCAGCAGCGGCAGAGACTATTTGTTGCAACTATTTGGGGCTGTCGTTGTGTGTGTGTTTTAGCCATGTTTAAACTATTGAAGAAAATCCAAATTTATTAACTAACTCTGACTTATTGGTTGCAAGGAGAAGTAGATGAGATTTGATATTGATATTGAACAGCCGGATATATATGTATATAACTATATTCATTTATATGATTCATTCATATACATATATACATACAAATATATATTCATCTGTTACATCTATCTGTGCTTGATACATGCATCGATTTGCCTAGAAGCTATGACTATTTAGCTTAATATCATATGGAAAACTTTTAAAGTACAGTAGAGTCCAGTTACAACGACGCTCAAGGCACCGTCGTATAAGTTTGCACATGAAAGTTTATCTTTATCGTTAAAACCGAATTCTAATGTAGTTCTATTTTATATATCTATATAACACTATGGTTTGTGCGTCTTCTAGATACTTTAAAGAAATAAACCTTATATATTGATGTCTATCAAAGCAAATTAGTTTAATAAGAACTATATTATATATTGATCATATGATCTCCTTTCCTATAAACTGCATATACGATAAATGTTTAAACAGCTGAAAAACCCTATTATATACACTCATGGTCAAATTAATAGGTGTGACCCAAAGATTCTAGCATATTTTGGAATAATTACGGTATGACAACATCTATCAGCACGAAATTTTTTTTTTAGGTATGGCCACACTATTTGATAAGAAAATAGGTAAATCCCCCCAAAAAATTTACTCGCTAAAAAGTTTTGGCTATTATACATTCTCTACCTCAAAATTGACCTGGTCACATTAATAGGTGTGTTTAACTAAACAAAAAATTATTAAAATATTAAAGTGTTTTTGAGTAAGCAAAGGTAGTATTATTATTGAATATAATTTGATTGAAGAGCACAAGTTAGGATACACTTTCATATATACAAGCAAATGGAATCGCTTTTAGCAGATACATATGTAATTGTGTTAACTATAGAGCTGCCTAGGTAAATTTCCAATTAACAATTTTCCTCAACATTCAACATTCTTATGAATTACTCGCTACTGCTTAACCGTTACTCCTTATTCGTTATTTGTTCATGACTGCGCCCACAAATTACTCCTTAAATTACATTTAATTTCTCTGCATTTTTTAAATATTTTTTATTTATATTTTTCATTAATTTTTCTTTACTTTTTCGCGCTGCCTCTGTGTACAGTCGCATATTAATATGCGCACATATTTACATATACGCATACATGCATAAATATACATATATGCAAATTTGTGTGTATATTGGTTCAGTTATCTTCATAACTGTCGCTATCGCTGTCTCGCTTCAACCCGCAAAGCTCGAGTCAAGCAAAACAAAAAAAAAAAAATTCCATAGATGCCGAAAATGCAGTTGAAACGCCATCTGTCGATGCAAAATGCAAGTTGCATGCGTGCATGTGTGTGTCTGTGTGTGTGTGTGTGTGTGTGTGTGTGTGCAGCTGTGTGAATGTGTTTGTGCGCGAACATCTCTGCGTTTCTGCCTCTGTGTGTGTGTATGTGTGTGTGTGTGTACTTGTGTGAACAATAAGCCAAAACCCGGGCAGCATATATACCGTATTCCGTATGCCGTACGCCGTATACCGAACCCCGGCATTTTGGTATTAACAAGCCCCAGCACGAAGAAGAACAAGAATAGCAGGAGCAGCACGAGAATCGAGAATGTCGTCGCCATCGCCATTACCGTTGCCAGCGTCGTCGTCGTCGCCGTCGTCGTCGTCGTCGTCGTCGTTGTTGTCGGAGGTGGCTGCCGAAAATTTTCCACGATTTGGCAACATCCGTGGCAACAGCGAGTGCTGATTGAATGGCAGCGCCGACGACCCGTTGCCCGTTACCCGTTGCGCCCGTTGCCCGTTGCCCGTTGCCCATTTCCCGTTAGTCGCGCTAGCCATTGCCGAAGCCTTTTCCCATTGTCCTCGTCGTTGGCACTTGGCAATGTTATTTATGTGCAGCGCGCGCGCATAATGCATCACATGAAAGTCACACGAATACACATACAAACACACGCACACACACACACACACACACACTCGCACACACACATACGCAATACAGTTCGCTGCAATTGCCATTGCTCATAAGACAATTTCGCATATAGCCGCATTGGTGAAACAGGTGCCACGCCCCTTTATAGCAATTATAGTTACTTATGTATGTATTAGCATTATTTAGCCAAATGCAAGGCTGCAACACTGTGCCACACGTTTGCCCCAGCAACGGGACTTGACAACGGACTGACTAGGCTGTAAATGGAGAGCTGGATAAACATCAACGAACAGCTCGAAGCGCGTTGGGCAATCGATTTACAACATAATCACAAACGTAAGCAGCATATTAATAAGCACTTGGCTTACGTCATTAGTAACGTTGCCTAAAGCACGAGGATTTGCTTTGCTTAACAAAAGGCAAATTAAAACCTTGAATATGCCAAGAAATATTCTTTCGATTGAGCAACGTTTTCGCGTAACGAACTACGTAACTCATTAAGAATAACGTGACGCTAATTTGTATTTCATATACTACACTCAACTACATATTTCAACCAAATGCACATTACACTACTATTATTACAAACAACTATATTTTGTATATATATTACTTCCATGCATATACTCTTACGTAACACACTTTAACGTAAGGCAGGCATACTTATAAATAGTCTTTCAATTCTATGCAAGTTATTGCTAAAGAGAGTTAAAGTATATGTTATGCTCTAGTCTATAACGTAATGCCAAATGTTACATTACGTAAATTTGCTATTTTTTATTTACTAAAATTACGTATTTCATGTCTCATTTTATTAATAATCAATTTATTAATAAAAATAATCTAATGAGCTGCCTTGGCCTTGCATAACGAGCCCAGTTTCTATAACATAACGTTATAAGCTTACGTCACGTAGCGTAAATCACGTAATAAAAATAAATTAATGTTAAAAGTATTATATAAGGCTTATCATATATAAACAACACTCGCCTAAATTAGCCAGCTTTTTAACGTAATACATTTCGTAACGTACAGTAATTCCAATCGCCATATATGAAATAATAATCCCTTAATTCAGTTTGAATACCTCAGGCGAAATGTATTTATCATATCACATCCGTCCAAAACCAGAGTTAACTTATCTTATGTATAACGTAATACTTTACGTTACGTAACGCAACTCAAATGGCACGCCACGAAATAAGAATCACTCAATTCGTTTTATATATCGCAACCGAAATAAATGTATCCCTCCAGTTTTCTTAACGTAACGTAAGTTTACGTCACGTAGCATAATTTACGTACTACAAATTCAAAGACTATCATGTATGTCTGTCATATAATATCCGTCTGAAACTGAAGTAAACATAATTTATATATAACGTAACAGATCACGTAACGTAACGTTATACGAGTAGCATTGCAAATATAGAAAAATATTTATTCCGTTCGTTTAACATATCGCCGTCGAAACTTCTTTCTTACGCCAGTTTCCCTAACGTAACGTAACACCAGACCAAGGCCTGTCACGTAGCGTAAATCATGTAATAGAAATGAACTAACGTCATCTGCCTCTGGGGCATATTCCATAGAGCTAACGTCTGCCAGCTCTGCAACGTGACTGGCGAATAAATTTTCCATTTGTTTTCCATGCAGCTGCTGCGACAGTTATCCAATTGCTGACAAATGGCTATGTGATGGATGTGAAGTAGGTGTGTGGGGGGAGCGTGAGGGGCTGGTAAGAGGGTGTATGGATGTCAGCTACTTAGCAATGCTCCAAATGCAATGTGCGTGCGATATGCAGCAGCTACTTGACCTATTGCTCTCTCCCTCTTGTTGTGTTTTTCTATTGCTATTGTTGTTGTTATAGATGTTGTTGTTGTTGTCGTGTGGCTGCCATCAATGTTGGCGCTACAATAGCCTCTGTTAGACTTTGCCCAGTTGCATAAATTTGCAGCTCAGCAACCCTATTCTACACTTCATTAGTCTTTGCTCTGGGCCCGAGAGCATTCGTTGTGCCTCATGTTGTTTGGTTGCAGTTGCATGGGTCCTTCTGCTCCTTTGTTTGTGTGTGTGTGTTTGGGGTTTCTTTTTTTGCGTGTGTTTTTATTTCTTCTTAGCATTTTGCAAAGTCTCCAACACGCACTCTCACGCTGCGCTGCTGTCTCTGTGTGTGTCTCTCTCTTTCACTCTCTCTCTCTCTCCTCCCTCTTTCCGCACCTCTTCCCATTGCTCTATCTCGCTTTGGCCTAAACCACCAACAATTGCCAAACTTGTGCAGCCTTGCAACGTGTAAGCCAATAACATCATTATTATCACGAAAGCATCATCATCATCATCTGCTGCTGCTGGTGTTGCAAGCAGCCTACTTCCTGGGTAACTCAATTTTTTCGTTTCACTATTTTTGTTGCTTTGATCCAGGCGTGTCCTGTGCTGACTCTGGGACTCTGCTCGATTGCAGCTCCGGCTGCAGCTGGTGGCACGGGCTCCGGCTCCGGCTCCGGCTGCGGCTCCGGTTCGGCTGCATGCTGCACGAAGCTGAAACTTCCAATATTCCTGTCGTCTGCCAGGCCCGTCTGGGTATGTGTGTATGTGTGTGTCTCTGTGTGTTTGTGTGTGTGTTTTATTAAAGGTACATCACCAAAAATTCAACGAGCCGAACTCCTCACAACAGCCCCAGCCGATGCCGCACAAGCTTGCCACACGCATTCGGCTATGGCCAAACACTCTCGTTGCGTTCCGTTGCGTCTCGTCTCGTCTCGTCGCGTTGCACGATGCTCGCTCAGTGTTGCTATTTAGACCAATAACTCAGCCTGGCCCACGCACTGGCGACCGACCAAACGACCAAACGTCCGACCAAATAGCGAACCGCTGTCGTCCCCAAGCTCCGCTCCTCTCCTCCTGCTTCTGCTCCTGATTCTGCTCCTGCTCTATATACAGCAGTCAGCCGCCATTTAGCCCGGCTTTTGCCCCTTCCAGACGCATCTCTCTCACTATATATATATATATAAATACACATATATAAATATGTGTGTATATGTGTGTGTATTTCCAGGCATCGTCACATCGCCTCTGCACTCTCTTTCTGTGTGTGTGTGTGTGTGTGTGTGATGTTTACCCTATTGTATCGGCTGCATGGCCGTTGCCATTGCCACTTGAAGGCTCGTCGTGCCTCGTTCCACGCGCAAGTTCACACTCCGGGAATATTAATAAAGTTATACCCGTACCGGATCGCCG